GGGCCCTTCCTGGGCTTTGGGCTCTGGCACTGCTGGAGGGGCCAGTGGGAGAGCGACACAGGAGCTTGGCCAGGGCTCCGTGCCCACTTTGGGGGTGTGCAACACCCCAAAGCCATGGGGACATGGCGTGTGTCTGGCCACAGCTAGGGAAGGAGCAGAAGGGGTCCCGGAGCCCCTGCCTGACCCTGGTTTTCAAAGTTTCCAAGTTCAGCCTGGTGTGTGGCGATCGGGTGGCCAACGGCCAGCAGGTGGCGCTCGGCCCAAGGCTGTGGAAATGCTTGGCCAGGCGGGTGGCAGCAGGTCTCCCCGCCTCCAGCCGCCTACTGCCATGGAGTCGCCAGAAGGTGGCGCTGGGTGGCAAGCGGCTCTGCCTCACGCCTTCTCTGGGACCCAGCAAGAGCTGCTGGGGGTCACCGCTGAGGCTTGGTGCGCCAGTTAGTGGCAGGCACAGAGGTCCCCACCTGGGGAGGCGGGGCACATTGAGGAAGCCCTGCCTGGGCCCCCACCCGGAGACCTTTGTCAATCAGTAGCTGGAGGGTGACCTGGGATCCCTGCAAGAGCCCCTCTGATCTGACCACGCAGAAGGTGCTTTTCTTCCTCTAGAGGAGGAAGCTGAGGGTCAGCGGGGACGGCACTCGATGTGGTCCTGCTCAGTGACGTGCCCCTGCAGCGTGATACCATGCCCACCCACTGCAACCCGCCATACCCCCAGCCACCTGCGTCCTGGCCTTTGGGGTGGAGCCGTCTTTCTGCTGTGCGCTGAAGGCTGCTCCGCAGGAGGGCACCCTCCCACGACACTTGTGTCCTAGTCCCCAAGGCTGCCCCGAGGTCCCCTGGTGTGGAGAACCCCAGGGGGGCGGTGGATCACCTGGGACACCCAAGGCCGCCTGTCAGAGGGTCCCTGGGGAGGGAGGCAGGAGGCCAGAGCCCTCACCTGGGCTGCTGGGGGCCTCAGGGAGCGCAGGAGCAGGTTTGCCGCCACGAGCCGAGGCCACGGGAGCTGGGTGGGCGCGGCCTTCCCAGAGGCACCTCTGAAGCCTCAGCTGGGCAGCCGTTGCCCTCTGACCCTCCTGCTCCCGGGGCTGTTACCCTCTCCTGCTGGGCAGCTTCTCCAGGGGTTGGTGGACACAGAACTGATGGAGGCCACTCTGGGGACCCTGGTGGGGGTGGGGCGTGCAGGAGCCAGCGAGACACAGGGGCAGAGCTGACCACAAAGGTCGGGGCAGGTGGGCAGAGCCAGGCTGCAGCCTTGGCCCTGGCCTTCCACATCCTCAGAACTTGCCTGGGTTCCCGACCGGTCTCTGTCCCTTGGACCATGGCTTTGACTCCATGAGCCTCGGTTTACCCCCTGGGCAGTGGGTCCCTGAGAACCACCCTCCCTGCGCAGCCTGCCTGTCAGGGAACCCCTATTCCATGGCCTCTTGTGGGAGGAGTGTCTCACAGAGGACAAGATGCCAGTCCTGCCGCCCCCTCGTTGGGCACAGCCTGGCTGTCCATGGGCTGGCCCTGTTGTGCTGTCCTCAGCAGAACTGGTAGGTGGGAGGGCTGGGTCTGGGGTGGCGGGCTGACCATCGGGGCTGGAGAAGTCTGATTCCGAACTCAAAGGTTGGAATTGGCAGTTTCACTTAGTGTGACCTTGGCCAAGCCACTCCCCCCCACCCCAGACCCAATTTCCTCAGCTACTAAGAGGGGGAATAAAGGTATCTGAAAATGCACAGATCACATGTACCTAAGCTCCCCCAAGTTCAGAATTAGGTCCAGACCGGCTACAGCTAATGACTCTCATCCGCGTGGCCAGGAGGAGACTGTCAATCCTGGAGTGGTTTAGAAGCCACTCTGGTCTTTGCTGGGAGTGTGAAGTCTGGAACCAGGGCAGCCACTTTGACACCAGCAGGGCAGAACTCTTTGTGGCTGGAGCCTCTCCATTTGGAACCTGAGACAGCTGAGTCTGAGGGAGCCAGAGATGAGGGACAGCACGTGCTTGACCACCTGGTCTTGAGCTGCTGGGTGAGGCCCGACCTGAGCTCCGTGAGTTTGCAAGTCCTGCTTTTGGTTTTAGTTCAAAACTGCCCATAGACGTGCGGTATCCCACTGCGTTTATAGATGAATCCCTAAACAATCGCCAGCCTCCAGACGGGGCCGGCCCCAGGCGCTTTACAGTTTCCTGGCAGGGTCAGGCCCCCAGCTTCTCACCCCGCCCCGCACGGGGTCCCTCCCTCAGTGGTCCCTCTCAGCGTGCCCCTGGATGAGGAGGGAGCACTGACAAAGCAGCCTGGGAGAAAAGTCACTGAGCAGCTTCAGCAAGGAACACCCCCCGACCCCCCTCCCTCCCGGGCAGATCTCCTGGGGTCCACCCTCCCCGCCACTGGCCACGTGGCTGCGTGGGGCCCTGTACCCCTTGGACTCCTTTGTCTTTTGCAAGTGGCCTCGCTCCTTTCACCTCTGGGCTTGTCTGGAACCTGCCCCTGGTTTTCTGAAGCCTCACCCTCCCAGGGCCTGGCTCCTGGACCAAGCACCAGAGTGTCCTTCCCTCCACAAAGTCACGGTCCTCTGCGTCATTCCCATCCCCACTCTCCCTGCGCTTTCGGCCTCTGAGACTCAGGGCTTCCTCCGTCCACCCCACAAAGCCCTCCCCTGGAACTGTCCGTCCTACCAGACGTCTTCACCCGCTCCCTGGAAGCCTCCTCTCGGCTTTTTCTTCTGGTCCTTCGGCTGCCTAAAGCCTTTCCGTGTCCTATTACCCTTCTCCTCCTCCCCCTGAGCTTCCCCTGGGAGCCGCCGTCCCTGCCCCGTGGGGACAGCGCCTGTCCTCCCCGGGCTGCTGAGGGCATGAGGAGGGTCACCACCGACCCCCGCCCCACCCGTCCCACCGTGCAGACTGCCCAGTTTAAAGCCACCTGGCGGGGGCTGGGGATGACGCCCCGTGCTGGGTCCCATGCCCGTGGCCCTGGTTTCCGTGTCCAGCCCTGAAGACGGAAAGAAAGCCCCATATGACCACTCTGGTCCCACAGAGCGTCTGTGAAGGGGACAAAGAGGATTCTCGGTGCTGCCCCAGTGGGGACAGAGGAGCAAGAGGGTCACAAGGAAGGCACTGACAGAACCTAGTCCCTGTCCTGGGCCATCAATGGCACCTGCCACCTCTGGGTAAGGCCTCCGTCCCCCTGTGCATCCAGCCTCAGGCCAAGGAAGGGCGGGAGCCTGCCGCCCCCTCCCTCACAGGGACGGTGGAAAGGCCACACGGGTCCACAGAGTGAGCCACCTCCCAGTCGTCCCTCCAGCAAAGCCAGCTGGGGGGCGGGGGGACTCGGGAGAAACCCCCTCCCCCAGGGCTACAGTGGCCTGGGTTTTGCTAGTTGGCTCCTCCGCCCCTTTCTTGTAACAGAGCCTCTCTTTCTTGGGGACAGAGCCCATAGGGTGACTCCCCACAACCTTGGGGAGCACCTGTGACCCCCATAACCAAGCTGAGCACTCCATTCTTCATTGGCTCAAAGGGTGGCATGTGACCTAGAGTTACCAATCAGGATCTTCCGTGGGACATGACAGACAGTGTTTGATTTGAAGACGGCTCTTTCTGCTGGGGTCGCTAAGCTGGTGGCCTAAGCCTTGGGTGCTGCAGCCAGCCACATGAAGAGTCTCTAGAGAGATGGCAAGAAAGAAGCCTGAGCATAGGACTGAGCCCCTGGATCCAGCCATTCCTGAACCTCGCCTCGGAGTCCCTTGACTTCCCAGTTGCATGAGCAAATAAGTTCTGGTTTACGCTTGGGTAAACGAGGCTTCTGTCACATGAACCAAAGTGCTCCTTAACTCCTCCCTGGGCTCTTCCTGCTTTAGGCTTCCGGTCCCAGCTGTCTTCTGACACACAGGTGACAGGTCCCCCTGAGAGGGAGCAGGGCTGGGAGGAGGCGCAGGATCGCCCTCTGAGCAGGTCGTGTGGGTCTGGAGAAGCATTTCCAGTTCACGGAACAAATTCCCGCCCCTCTCGGGGCTGCAGGATTCCTCTGCAGGTATCCCCCAGGAGGGAGGGCGGACAGACAGGTAGTCAGGGAGAACGAGGGCGGGACGGACAACCTGCTCATTCTCTGCTTTTAATAGTGACTAGTCAATTTCCTTCCCGAAGAGACCAGCACTGACCTTCACCTCCAGCCCCCATCAGCTGCCAGTAAGGCTTCGCCAGAGTGTCGATGACAAATTAATCATGCAGAGAGGGCAGATCTCATAGGAAAAATGGATGCTCTGGTCCGGGCTGGAGTGGGAGCCTTGGTGTTCCCGCCTCCCACAGCCCGGGGAACCAGCACCCTCAGGAACGCGCTGAGGCTGGCTACAGGTCCCCAGCTCCTGCAGAAGGCAGTCAGTCCCGGAGCCGAGAACCAGACGCAGTTGTAAGCCCTCCGACTGGGTGGCTGGTATTTGAGACGGGCTTCCCCACCAGGACGCGATCTGCAGGCTCCAGCCCACGGCGCGGCTGCGGTGACTTCTGCCCAGCAGGGCTGTGCCGTCCAGCTCAGGGGACAGGAGCCCTGCTCCAGTGATGACCCCAGCTGCCTCAGGCGCAGAGCCGCTGGGTTCTCGGCCGCAGGGTGGCCTCCTGGCTTCCCTTGGTTCCTGGGAGTGGCCCGGTGCAGTCCCTGGCCCTCAGCCTCCCCGCGCTTTCTTGGCTGTGGGCTCCCGGCCACCCTGCTCTTCTGTGGTTCTCTGAGTAAGTCGCCCGTCGGGCCTCCACGCCTTGGCCAGGGCTGTCCCTGCCTGGAGCACCATTCCCGTCCCACCAACTGCCCCTCTGTGTGGCCTGGCAGACAGGGCTCCAGGGCTCTCTGCTCCCTGAGAGGCCTCCTGGGCTGCGTGCCTCACTGTCCCATGTCTCCTGTGACGGTCACGGCTCCTGACTGTGAGCCACCATGAGGGTGGGGCTGCTCCCCACTCGGCAGCCCCAGGCAGGGCTCGGCTTGCAGCAGGTGGCCGGCAAGGAGCTTTGCCCCACAGTCGCTGTCCCTGGAGGTGTGAAAGTGAACAGACAGGGCCACAGAGCCCCGTAAAGTCCCCAGCCTTGGAGGGGACCCCTGAGGTTGTGCAAGGGACTCCTGAGGTTCTTGCCTATCCAGCGGTCCCACGAAGGCTGAGTCAGGGGGACCCGCTGACGGCCTCCTGGTTCCAAGGATCAGCCCTGTGACTCAGACTGGCCAGTCCCTGCTGATGGGTCAGCGAAGGTCACCTGACCCCTGGGCCAGCCAAAGACTTGCTTGGGACTGCAGGAGGTCAGGGAGCAATTTGCTCTCTGAGAGTTCAACTAAGAAATCCTAGATGGATTCTAGAGAAAGGAAGATTCTAGAAGGTCAGGTAGGCATGACAGGGCTTGAAGGCAGGACTTCAGGGAAGAGTGTGGGTCGGTGTCTCAGTGCATCCGGCTGCTGCAACAAAACACCTCTGACTGGGCACTTCATAAACACCAGAAGTTTAATGCTCACGGCTCAGGGGGCTGGGAAGGCCGACACCAAGGTGCCACAGCTCCGTGTGCCGAGGGCTGCTCTGTTTTGAAGACGGCACTTGCTGTTCCTCCCAGGGAGGGAAGCTGTGTGCCAAGGGGAGAAACCAGCTCCCTCAGCCTCCTGTAAGGGCGCCCATTCTGACGGGGGTCTGTCGTTTCCAGGCCCCCCCACTGCTGCGGCTCTGGGGGACTTAGACGTGAGTTTGTGATGTCCCGCGCAGGCAGCCAAGGCGGAAGGCCAGGAGGCAGGACCTGCCCCGGCCCCGGAGAGAACAGAGAGCCCCACCCAGCCCTCCTCGCGGCGTCAAGGCTGCTTCTGGTCAGTCTTCAGCCTGAGCCCTTCCCCACCCTGAAAGCCGGCTCCTGCTGGCCAGATGTGGGCAGCGGGCAGGTCCAGAGTCCATGAGACAAGGCACCCTGCCCAGGTTCCCCGGCACCTGCCGCCTCCCAAGTGCAGCCCCAGGTCCCTGCTACTCGCCCCCCTCCAGCTCCCTGCGTCCGCCCACAGAGACACTGTGCTCTGCAGCGGGGGGACTGCTGTTTCCAAGAGTCATCTCCCTCAGCTTGGGGGTGAGCTGAGCAGGATTGCCCCGGGCTTCCTGGCCCCCATCTTCGGGGACCTGGCTTGTGGACGGCTCGGCTTCAGAAGTGGGATCTGTGGGAAGAGAAGACATCATCGAAGGAGCACGAGGCCCCTGGAGTAACCAAGGCCACCCAGAGAACTGGGGACTGAGGCCATGGTCCCCTGCTGGCCCAGTGGACACCTGAGCATCCTCGCTCCCAGGCCCGGCCCTTTCTGAACACTGCGGCAGCTCCCAGCTCCCCTCAGGCCCTTGGCTTTGCCCAGATGGCCTCCAGCGGGGCTGTAAAATCCCGGGCCTCACCACGGTCCCTGCTCGCCCAGCAGCTGCCCCGCGCTGCTCACTCCAAACAAAACGTGGCTTTCACCTGGGCCTCCAGCCTCAGCCGCCCCTGTCACAGCCACGGCCCTGGGCCCAGGGGGTCAGCCCTCTTGCTCCCTAGCCTCTGCCTGGTCACCAGCCGACCACCCTGGTCCCCAGCCCAGGGCTTTCCCAGGTCTCTGCTGGGCAGGAGCTTCTCAGCCACCGCCCCCGCTGCCGCCCCTGGCCTCCCCAACTGCCCCTCTGCATCTGCAGAAGGCTCCCTGCCTGGCCCGGGAACTTGCCCCTCCCCCGTGCCCTACGTGGTCTCACTGATTCCTGGGACGCCCAAGGGTCCTGGAGACAAGTGGGAAGGTGGGGGTGAGGCCTGGGTCTCCTCACTGTGCTGGGGCTTAAAGGACGGACCCTCAGGACCTGGGATGAGACCCTCGACTGCAGAGGCTGGCGGATGGAGGCTGGCCTGTCCACTAGAGTCTGCCAATCTGGTTTTGTGACCACTGGTGAGATTTTATCCCAGGTCCTGGAAGCCTGGGAGCTGAATCCCCCCCACACACCGCCTTCTCCACACTGAAGGCAGCACCTCGGCCGCCCGCCCCTGCTCCAGGCCCTTCTCTGGTTCCCACGGCCTCGGGTGACTCCAGCACCCCCCCCTGCAGCCGGAGCTGGGCTCTGGCGCAGGCACACCCCCACCCGCTCGTCCTGGCCTCTAGGCTGTTGCCTGCGCTGTTCTGCCCACCAGGTACGCCCTCCCCACCCTGTGCCCACCTCGAGCGGTCCCCTCTTCTCCTGCACAGTGGAACCCCTGGCTCTGAGCCAGAGGGTCAAGTCCCGAGGGGCAGAACACGGCAGGATTGCTAACTGCGCACGTCCTTTCTCTTCTTCTTGTGGCAGAAGGACCCCTCTGCTGACACTCAGCTGGGCCCAGGCTACCCAGCCCACCTTGGGGCCACATGCAGGCCCCTGGAGTGGGTGCAGAAGAGGGAGGTGACCCCGTCCCAGGGGGTGGCCAGCGCTCTGTGACCACTCCTCCCTCTCCCGGCTGACGGCGGTTTCAAGCCCACAGTCAGGACAGAGTCCTGGGACAGCTGAGCATCAGCAGAGAAGGACTCAGGTCAGTAGATGTCCTCGAGGACAACCCAACCGGGACCCCAGCAGGTCCTGAGAGAGGCCTGAGCTCTGGGCAGGTGACACTCAGGCCCAGGGCCTTGTGGCTGCTGCAGGGCCACCCACCCCCCAAAAGTCTCTCTGCCTGTGGTGTCCAGCGCCTCTCAAGGCCACATTAATAGCTGCACCTCCTGCTGCCGACCGTGCCCTGGACTGGGCAGGCAGCGGGGCGCTTCGCCTGCTCATCCAATCCCCTCCTCAGGAGGCCTGTGGGGGTCACGGCGCTGCTCTTGTCATCCCCTTACAGAGGAGAGGCCGGAGGCCCAGCCAGAGTGAGGCCCTGGGCTGGAAGAGGTGACCTCAGTAGCCACTCCACCTGTCCTCGCCATCACCCACCCTGCCTCCCAGCCCTGGGAAATGGGCAGCTGGGGGCCAGGGAAGGGGACCAGCCCACCTGTGCCCTCCTTCAGCTCCCCGGGGTCCTGCCGGCCATCTCCAGGCCCCGCGGCTGAGCCTGGGCTGGTGGCCTCTGGGCCTGCTGGGAGGACGGTCATCCTGTTGCTGTTGCCGATGCTGGTGTATTCGAGGAAGCAGGACTTGATGTGGACTCTCTGGACTGCGTCCGCCTTGGGGTGAGGGCCTGGCTGGGGCGTTCGCGTTTCAAATGAAGTTTCCGAGTCACCGGCCGTGGCTGAGACTGCGGACCAGCCGAAGAGACACCCGGAGGAGTGGGCAGCTGGACGGTGGCCCCAGAGCCCAGCTCCCAGCCTGGCTCCAAGTCCTCCTTGCTGACTTCACCAGTGGCCACCTGGCTCGGTCAACAGCGAGGTCCACGCCCTGTTCACCACCAGGCAGCCACTCCTCCTGCCCTCCCGAGCCCCCAGAGGACCTGGCACCTCAGCCTTTCTCTGGGCCCCAGTGATTCCTTCCTCATCTCGTCTCTCTGCTTCCTGGCAGGGCTGGGCCAGGTCTCCACCTTTGGTCTTGCTCACGCCCAGCCCCAGCCCCTGCCATCTGGCTCCTCCACCCAGACTTCTGGAAAGAGCTGTCCACACTCAGCCTGGCCTCCCTCCCGACCTCCGACCCTTGCTGCAGAACCCCACACTCTTCCCCTGGCTGACCTCTCCCCCAGCTGGGCCCCTGCTCCTGGGCCCCTGCGGTCGGTGCCCCTTCCATCCCATCTGTCCCTGCCTGGGAGGCCCTGGCTCAGGGCCTCTGGTCACTATGCTGACCCTGCTTCAGCTGGCCAGCCTCGGCTTCTCAGGGAGGACGTGCTGGTCTTACAGATGGGGGAACCGGTCTCCGGCTGGTCAGTGCTAGGGGACGGGGACCCGGCGTGCCATCTCTAAATACCCCACCTGTGCCACAGAGTGGTTCAGTCTCTTGGAAGGAAAAGACCCCCTGAAAAGACTCTGGCTCCTGTTCCTGCCCCCCAGGAACTGAGTGGGGTGGGGGAGAACGTAGCCACAGGACGCCAGTTACCTGGGGGGCTGGATGACAGCCCGTGGGCAGGGCTTTCCGGCAGGTCGCTGTGCAAGCTCATCTCGTTGCTGTGTCCCACCTGCACCCGTCTGAGCAGGGACCGCTCCATGTGGATTTCCTGGGACCCCCAGCCACCTGCCAGGGGTCCCTGAGCCGAGGAATCACCTGGGGCAGTTGGGGGCAGCTGGTTGGGAGCTGTGGGACCTAGAACAGTGACACAGTGTTAGGAGGGGTGTCGGGATGTCTGGACTGGAGAGCAGGTAGCCAAGGAGCTGCAGCCAGGGTGTCCCGAGTGGGGCCCTGCCCAAGGTCCCAAGGGGACACCTGCAGTCTCAGTAGTCACCCGTTGCCTGCTTCCTGGTCCTTCTCAGCCTTCTGATCCCATCAGGAGACCCTTCCTTGGTGTAAGCGTGTTCTCCACACGTCATTTCACTCCTGGACATTTATCTTTATGATGAACTTCATGGCTTTCAACTCAGGGGAAAGCTAAAATTTTTATTTTAAAATATATTCAAGTCGGGGGTGGGGAGTGAACCATTCAACAGCACTGATTACACAAACAGGGACGTAGCCAAAATCGAGGAGGTGACATGGGAGGATTCACACTGGGGAGATGATCATCAAGACATCGGAACAAAGTTCCTCGTCTCACATCTGGGAGACTGAGGCCCAGGGTAGAGCCAGGCTCTCCCAAGGTTACAGGATACATCTGAATTTGGGGCTGGTGTTCTCACACGGGGTGCCGGGCTGGACTGAAAGAGGCTGGCACCCTTGTGCCCCAGTGCCTGGCATGGAGCATGTTCAGCCTGCAGCTCTGCATTTCAACAAAATGAGCATGTCTCTGCTGACCTGTACCCCAACCTCCAACACATGCTCATGTGGGGAAAGAAGTGTGTCCAGAGAAAATGAAATATCTCCACAGTGCACTTGTGATGTTCTGCTGACAAAGAAGAATTTGAATTATTTCTCAAAATACTGCATTCCATTAAAAAGAGCAAAAGGTATTGGAGTGAAGGGACAGCAGGAGAGGTTTGATCCAGGCTCCCTCATTCTCACAACAGCTATAAAGGAGGGCCGTGGACATTAGGAAGCTGTCCTTCCTCCTCGGAGGATTGAGTCCCCCACAAGCCCTCTGAGGTCCGTCCTCCTGGGTGCCTGTCAGATGACTTACCGCTGCCCTCAAAGACTCTCTGCTTCATTAAGACGTTCCCGTGTCCGATCTGGATGCCTTCCGAGTTTGTGATGGTGATGTGGCAGTTGGGTCCACTCTGGCAGATCATGTAGACTGGAGTCTGCTGGCGCACTGCTACAGCAGATGGATTTCTTCCTTCAGAATCTTCTGCAAAACAATATTCCACTCTCTCCCTTTGCCCCTCCTTAGGGGTCTGAGGCTCCAGAGGCCAGTGGGCAGCACCGAACTTCCCTGGAGAGTTTGTGAGGAGGACTCCCAGGCACGCCATCTGGGAACCTGGGAACCTGCATGGGCGACTCCAGCCTTGCATGATGGACAGCTTGCTCGGGTGTCACAGAGGGAGCCCAGGGTCAAGATGGAAGGTGGCCCTCCTGGTGTCTTGCTGCCCCCCACCCAGGCCCAGGATGGCTCCTGGGAGGACTGCAGGAGCCACGTCCTCTCTCCCTACCCTCTGTCCCCCTCCCTGGGAGGCACCCACAGCTCCAGGCCCTGAACCCCAGGGGCCTGTCCCCTGGATCAAACACTCAGATGCCCCCTATGACTAGTGACATGGACTTGAACTTGTCACTGATTTGAACTCTAGCTGCTGTCCCACCTCAACAATCCTGCCCACGTTGCTGACCCCACAGGGGCGCTGTGGGGGTGTGGGGAGGCTCCCTCCCCAGCTCTGCGGACCCACCAGCCACCACACCACCTCCAGGGCCCTGGGCCGGGTGTCTTTGTGGGTAGGCTCTTCATCCAAATGGAAATAAAATCAAGTTAGACTTTATGACTGCGTCGTAGGAAGACAAAACCATCCAGGATGCGTTCCTTCCTAGATGCCCGTTATTGTTAAAGTGTTTGGTTTTCTTCTGACTTAAAAAAAAAATCAAGGGGCTGGGGATGTGGCTCAGGCGGTAGCGCGCTCGCCTGGCATGCGTGCGGCCCGGGTTCGATCCTCAGCACCACATACCAACAAAGATGCTGTGTCCGCCGAAAACTAAAAAATAAATATTAAAATTCTCTCTCTTTCTCTCTCTCTCTCTCAAAAAAAAAAATCAAAATGGAAACATCTTTGCAGCCTCTGGGGTGACCGAGGCTCTAGGCCCTGGGTGCCTGAGGCCAGGTGGCCCTGGATGCCACACTTGAGGGGCCTGAGCCTTGCCTCACCTTCTCTTGGCCAACTTTAAAATCCCAAGATCGCGGCTCAGCCCGCCAGCACTTTCTCTCCCGGAACCTTCTGCAGGGCACAGTCAGTGCCACCTCTAGAAGCTTCTGGCAGGTTCTAATGAAGGGGAGCAGGCAAAGTGCTCAGAAGGGCCCTCGCCAAGGACTGGGTGCTGGGCGCGATGGCTTCTCTTGGGTGCTGCGTGCAAGGGTGTGGACAGCAGGGGAGGCCTACCTGGTGCAGAGACGCGCCACACTTGCAGCTTCTGGTCCTGGTCTAGAAGGCGCTTGCTTTTCATCTTGTACAAGGTTGGGTTCACGTCCTTCGCTGTCCTCATTTCCAGGGCCTGGGCGATGTGCAGGGCCTTGCAGGGCCCGCTGGCTTTCAGAAACCCGAGGATCTTTTCCTCTGGGAGGCAGAGTGACTAGGTGGTTAAGGAGACCCCGCTCCCAAGTGTGGGTCTGCCCCGCTGCTCACTGGCTGTGTATCTGAGGACAGGGGCCCGCGACCTGGGTGGAGCAGCAGGGATACCCCGTGGGCAGCTGTGACCTAGGATGTGTGCCAGGTGCCGCAGCCCTGCGCCTGGCAGGTGCACAGAAGTGGCAGAGAAACAATTTCTGGGCCATTTAGATTCTTGGGCTGCCACAAAGACCAACTCTGGCCTCAGGACCCTTGGTAGGAGCCCCTCGGGTAGGACTGGACTCAGCACTGGTGACACCTTGTACTTCTGGGAGGGCTTGGGGTGGGGGCGGCAGGGCTGGACGAAGCAGAGGCTGTGCTTACCCAGCTCGCTGAGCTGAAGGCCAGGACTCTCTGCTGCGGCAGGTGCTTCTTCCTGGGGCTTCTGGGCTGGAGGAAGACAGGCAGGTCGGGGCTGGGCACGGGCTGGGAGAGCAGGCTCCAGCTCTGGGGTGTGTGAGGCCAGGTGAGCGTAGGAGCCCACTGAGTGTCAGGCTTGGTGTCCGAGGGCTCTGGGGCCAGAACTGGGCTCAGGTATCCTTGAGTGCGCTCGGCCACCATCATGGTCACTGTGATGTTGCCATCATTGTTTTTCTTACCTCGTGTGCTTTGCTGTGACCTACTCTGCTGGTACTGGGCTCTCTGCACCTAGTCATCCCAGCAGCTCCTACGAAATGGCCCTACTGTCATCGCTATCGACCAGAAAAAGTAAAAAATCAAGGGACATTAGATGTCCCCAAGTGGCAGAGACTGGATTCAAACCCAGGCCCAAATCTGTGCTTGTCTATTGCCCAGATGTCTCCCGTGGGCCCAACCCACCCAGGAACGCAGTTTACCATGGCTGTCCTGGGCAGGCTGGGTGGGATCCACACCTCCGGGATCACCTGTGCCCAGGCGCCATGTTGCAGGGGCAACTTGGGAGACTGTCCCCTCCTTGGCCATTCGGTAGAGGACTGAGTTGAGCTCCTTCTTGGGCGCTTGGCATTCCTTCACCAGCTGGTAGGACTTCAGAGGGGAGCTGGCATCTCCCAACACCTGCAGGATCTTCTGCTCAAGGTGGCCTGGGAGGAGGGGAAGGCAGAGAGAACTGAGCCCCAGGTCCCCGGGGTGGAAAGGGCCAAAGACTCCAGGAGGCCAGAGAGGGCCCCTCTCGAGTAGGGTCCAGGGCAGAAACCATCCATGGCAGCAAGTAGAGCCTTTGTGTGGAGAGACAAGCACGTGGGCTGGACGGGTGGCGGGGACACAGGCGGTGCACACCCTCTCCGTGTGCCCTCCTGGGCGTGGCACCAGGGCAGGTGGGAACGCTCAGCTCGCCATGTCCCAGGAGCAGGGGGTGGAAGGGGGGGGCAGGCACGTCTGGCCCAGGGCCTTTGCCATCGGTGCTTCTGATGCCCCTGCTGTCGTCAACCTCAGTGGTGCCGTTAAGTCACAAGCCCCACAGACATTCGGAAGCAGGTCTTTCCTCGGGTGCCCAATCACGGAGTCCTGAAATGCCACACTCAGGTCTCTCTTGAGTCCTGGGCTTCCCCATTTCTCTGCCCCCACCACCATCTCCAGGATGGTGGGGTCCACCAAATGCAGCCATTTCCCCGGGGGTCTCCTCTGCACCTGACCCCAGCTTCTCTCCAAGGGCCCCTGTGCTCCTCCCAGTCCACTTGCCTGCATGTGGCCCTACTCAGAAAGTCCCTCTCAGCCCCTTCCAGCATCTCCTCGACCCCTGCTCAGAGCCGTCTCCTCTGGGAAGCCTCCTCCCTGTGCTTGCTGATGCTGGCTGCTCTGGCTGGGTCCCCTGCAGAACATCCCCACAGGGTCCCTGTTGTTTGCCTGGTTCCCTGTCAGACCTTCGATGTCTTGCCCAGGGCCAGGCACACAGTAGGTGCTCATGGAATGGAAGTTGAATGAATGAGTGAGTGAATGAGTGAATGCTTTGTCCTCTGCTTGGACAGACACTGCCCAGTTGGCCCAGGGCAACTGGCATGTTGTTTCCTGGTCTCAGCACAAGGAGCCCTAAGCCTTGTGGGGACTTAAGGAGGAACTTTGTAAACAGCCCCTACTGCTCCTAGGGCAAGGCCTGGAAATCAGAGCCATCACCTCCCATCATTAACACAAAAACAAAAACCCCAGGGGCGCTGCCAGCTGACAGCATGACACAGACGCTGTGTACAGGTGCAGGTGACGCCCAGGAAAGAGCAACTGGGAGAGCCACATGGGCGGTGGCCTGGCCTGTCACCAGGAAGTTTCTGCCCCTAAGAATACTGCAGGTGGTGAGAGGAGGGTTCTCCTTGGGACTGCCTGGGTCCCTTCCTCTGCATCTGGGGTTTCTTTCCTGCTCAGCAGACAGTCAGCTGGCCCTGGCCCCAGCAGAGGCCCTTGTGGGGCGGAGTAATGAGCTTGTGACCCCACAGTTGGGGCTGGGGCTTGTTCTTGTGATCAGAATGTTGCTACCCTGCTGGGAGCAGGTGGAGAGCAATGAGAGGATCAGGCTCACCCACTCCTCCTCCCTCACCCACCAAGTTTACCCAGGGGAGGGGCACCCAACCAACTCTGCACCTGGCTTTGCCTTGTCTTGCAAAAAGTGTAAGTTCTTGAGGAGCCCACCCTGAGCGCTGCGGGGCCACCCAGACCCCAAAGGACAGGTGGGGTCAGGGAGGTGAATGAAGAGCCAGCCTGAGAGCCTCTGGGTCTGACAGTGGGAGGTTGTGGACCAGAGCAGGGGCAGGGGACAAGCCCAGCAACAAGGGAAGTCGCTCGGGGAGGCAGAACCTCCTTGCCCGGTGCCTGCAGGGTCCTACCAGGAAGAGCGGGCACTAGTCATGGCCAGTGCTCCTGGGTCACAGCCGGCCGCCATCACCCCTCCCCAGCGCTCGCTTCTCCTTTTTAATCTCTGGTGAACTGAGCCCCTGCTGCACACGCCCCGTGCCTCAGTTTCCCCACAGGTGGAACTGCGGCAACAGCAGCGACTTTAGGGATTCAGCAAAACACAGAACAAGAGCAAAAAAAAAAAAAAAAGAAAAGAAAAATGAAAACCACCCATGTGCGCAGGCGCTTAGCGGGATCCCTAGAAAGGAGCGGCCCTCCGTGCTGGCTGAGGAGTTCTCCCTGGTGGCCTCCAGAGGAAGATGGTCACCAAGGAAAGAATATAACCCACAGAAAACAGGAGCATGTGCCTCTTTTCCAAGCACCATCTTTGGTTCTCAGGATGACTGTGCAGAGCCATTGGTGCTTGGCAGCTGACAGCCGGGGACTTCACGATGCAGGGCCCCGGTTGTGCCATCTAGGAAATGGGACAGCACTGCTCTTGATGCTGGGGGCGTTTCATGCACCTAGACACAGGAGCCTTTGGAGGGATGGCTGGGCTCCCTGCCCCACTCCTGTTCTCCAACCCACTGCTGTTACCTGGGCCAAGCAACCTCTGGAAAGAAGGAGGAACCCGCCCCCAGCCCCAGGAATTACCCGTGCTCCCTGGAGGAGGAAGAGCCTTACCTCTCTTGCTTGGGTCAGCAGGAGCCTCGGCCATGCTCACAGCAGAGGCAAGGGGCCAGTGGACCTGGGAGCAGATACCTGTGCCGTGGCCTTGCGGGTGTGAGCCGCAGGAGGCTGGGCATCTGAGCCCCCACTCGGGGAACCTCTGAACCCACAGGGAAGCCGTCAGCTTCGACCCACAGCTGTCAGGACTCACACTCCAAAGACAAACACCCAGTCTGCCCCACCCCATCAGGAGAAAGAGAAAATGAAACTGTGTGTGGTTTTTCTCGGAAAGAAACAGAATTGAAAGCAGGACCCAGGAGGGAGAGAGGGTGGACCTCAGCATGATGTGGCCAGGCAGCAGCTGGGATTGGCAAGGCTGGGCGCCTCTGAGATGGCCTCCCTCCCCTCCCAGCACCCAGTGCTGACTGCCAGGCCCCACATGGAGGACAGGATGCTTCAGTGGGTGGGTTCTCTGCATTTGTTCCTGCCTATCCAGGGGCCCCACTTTAAGAAGCACCTACTATGTGAATTCCAATGCACTGGCCTCCCCAGCTCTGCTACAGAGGAGGGCTGACTCTGCCTTCTTTCTTCAGAGAGGAAACTGAGGGATTTGATCTGTGATACCCAGAAGTCAGGCATGGAGAACCCCCAGCCCACACACCAAACTGAGGCCCCACGCTCATGGGAAGATGCTCCATAATTTCAGAATTGTGGGTGGGATGACTGCCTTCCTGCACCAACTTCCCACTGACCACAGGGTGGCACCTGGGACAGCGCTGCTCAGCAGTTAGGGACTCCCGTGGGAGGCCAGGATTTTGGGTTCAAACAGCCCCACCACGTACTAGCTGTGTAACCTCGGGCAACTTATTTATCCTGTTTCCTCATTTGTAAAACGGGGTCCTGAGAGCACCACTTCATTGGGGTGCTGGTGAGAACCAAGGGGGTGATCCAGCTAAGCAGTCTGGCCAGAGCCCCTGGCGTCATCTACAGGTACGAGAGCACTTGGGCACCACACATGTGCTTCTGGAGAAGGACCCATGGCTTCCACAATTTTCCAAAGGGGCCAGTGACCCCAAAGCAGTTCAGAGCTCGGTTCTCTTCAGATCAAAGAAGAGACTGGGGTTCAGAGAGGAGAAGGGCTGCGGAGGACTGGGCCCTGGAGTCTCTGGGTTTGGGGTGCAGCAGGTTCCTACTTGGTGGCCCGCGGCCGAGGGGCTGGGGGGTGTGCCGGTCCCCACGCCCCCTCCCCACCCCTCTCCCCGAGGTTCTGCGCCCGGCTGCGAAGCAGCAGGCGGCCGGGGTTTGCCTGGACTCTGCCTGCACAGCAAGCACCAAGCGGGCGTTTCCTCCTCAGCCGGACGCAAGTTGGGGACCCAAGGCTTAAGTCCCAGCGCCGGACCGCGGAGGCCAATCAAATGCGACCTCGTGCGGCCAAGCGGGGGATGTTTTCAGTTCCAGGTGACCGCTTCTGCTTCCGGGTGCAGAGCCAGCGCTGCAGGGCAGGTCCGTCAGGACAGCACGCCCCAGGGGCCCTCACTGCCCTGTCCTGCAGAACTGAAGGCATGTGCAAGGCCGCCGGAGGTGACCAGGTCCCTCCGCGGGAGCCTCGGCGGCGCGCTCCCCGCGGAGCCCCCGGACGGCCCTGCGCGGCGAGGCGCGGGCGGGGCACGGCCAGCAGGGGGCGCGCGCCCTCCGCCCGGGGCTGGGCCGCCGGACACACCCCCCGCCCTCGTGGCCTCCGGACCCAGGGCTTCACCCCTTCGCCTTCTTGCGCCCTCCTTGAATTCCACCGCCGCTGCTTGTCTCGTCTGCCCTGGGAGCCAGCGCCCCGGTGGTTCTCTGGCTGACCCTGTGGTCGGTTCCGTCCTCAGCCTTTGCACAACCCACCACCGCCCGGAGAGACCCTCCCTCCCTCCACCTCCAGGGCCGCCCCGCTCCTCCCAATGCCCCTCTGCCTCCTGGCGGGTTCGCCTTGACCTCTTCCAGATCAAAGGAGAGACTGGGAAGGGATTAGGCTTAGGGTTAGGGTTAGAGTGAGGTCCCAGGCCGGTGGTGGAGCTCAGGTCTCTGGTGGGCTCCCCGCCAAGCGGAGGGACTTGAGCGCCATCCCGAGAGTCAGCCTGGCTGCTAGGAAGGTCACCTAAACTCAGTGGAGGAGGCCAGGGCCCATCGAGGCCCGTCTGGACAGCTTGGACGGCCCCATGGAGCCTCTTCCCTGCCTCTCCCAGTTGTTCCTAGAAGCCAGAAATGAGTCACTGTGCCAGGAAGGCCAAGCGCCTGGGGAGGTGCCCTGGGGACAAAGATCCTGTCCCACTCACCCTCTTCTCCAGAGCAGTTTTGAGCTGCAACTCTGCTGTTCCCGGGTCGTGGGTGGCTACCTCTCTGAGCCCCAGTTTCTTTAGCTATTAAGCAGAGATAACAAATAAGAAAAACATTTCCATCAGCCTTTACTGTGTGCTCATAAAATTTGCCCAAATTTGGAAATGTGTGTGATGCAGCTCCATAACACAACTATAGGCCCTGCCACAAACAGGCAACAAGCAAGAAAGAGAACAAAAACAACTTAATGTGGGCGGATTCCACCTTTGCCTTCCTCGCACATCTGCAGCTGAAGCCATGAATCTGCTGGGAGCGTCTACAACACTGAGTGGGATGCTCACTTTTAAAGATTTGAATTAGCTTGCGTTCCTCCTCTCAATTTAAGAAAATTGGGAGCTAATTTTGACCATGAGAGTTGTCTTCAAGCCTAGATAGCAGTGGCTTCAACAGCACAGATGTCGTTCTTTTTCCTCTCACAGTCTAGAGGGCAGACCACCAGTGGTGTGCTCCCTGTGTTTCACAATCTTTCGCAACCTCCATTCCCAGGTTTGCCTTAAGTTCAAGAATGGCTGTTGGAGCTCCAAACCTCACATCTGCATTCCTTCCAGCAGGGAGGAGTAAAAGGAAGAAGGGCAGGTATCTCCCTTTTTGGAACACACATTGCAAATTGCCCATACTTCCACTAATAATCCCGTTGGTCAGAGACTAGTTCTGTGATCCTTACCTACAAGGGATGCTGGGATAGATGGTCTGTATTCCGGGCCGCCATGTGCCCAGCTAGAACTGGGATTCTATTACATTAAAATAGGGGACAACAGCGATTGGCAGAGGCCTGGCTGCTCCTGGTGTTTCAGGGCTCTCCTGCAAATCTGCTCTGTGCCCATGGAGGCCCAGGGAGGCTGAGTCCAAGGCAGCATCTTCCTGCTCAGAGACTCCCTTCCCATGTGGGTGGCCAGAGAGGACAGGAGCAGGCAGGGCGGCCCCTCCTCCTCGCCACCTGGAGAGCGCCTGCAAGTCCAGGCTTCAAGATGGCGCCGCTGTTGCTGAGCGGGCCTCTCTCTGCTTGGAAAGTGTGCTCCTTTTCCATGGCTGGTGTTTTTCTGGAAGCTATTAGAACTCTCCGCCCAAACCAGATGATAATTACATGTTACCGATCTCTAGTCTTTTGAGTTTTTCTCCGACTCTTTTTTAAAAGAGAGATATTTTTACTTCACATTGTGTTGGCAAAACCCAACCCTCTGCCGGGCAGCGGGGAGTTCTCTTGAGATTCCTCTGTGAATTCGGCTAGGGGAGGAGGAGGAAAGGCACCGAGTGTGGACGGCACGGTGTCATTATCAGGGGCAAAGGTCGGAGCGCCAGGACCTGAGTGGGGCCTGGGTTGTCCAAGGCCTCTGGCTCTCCTGGAGAACAAGGAACAAAGACTGGCAAGTTGGCAGTCCCCAAAGGAGTGGCTCTGGCTCTGCTCTCTGTCCGTCACGGCAGAGCTGTGGGTGGGGACTCCAGCATCCCGAGTCCACTGGAGTCTGCTGGACCTGAGTTTCTGGTCCTGGGCCCCCCACTTTTTAGCTCTGAGTGTTACCGCTGTTGACCGGTGACGAGTTCTTGCTCCCCGATGTTGAAGAATAACACCAAAGAAGCACGCCGAGGCAAGGTCAGAGTAGAAAT